ATTATGCAATTAACAGAAATAAGTTGAAAGCATGTTAAAATTGTGTGCACCTGTTCATATTATAAGTTGCATCAAACGATACGACATCACCAAAAGATCCGTAGTTCCTTCTAGAGATTGGATCGGCCCAAAAGAGTCTTTTCAAACCGTCACTCTCATCAAGATCATACTGGAAATAAAAAGCGGTACTGATTTCCTGAAGTTTAAAGAACTTCTCAATCACTAATTGGGCATCTCTTCCTGATATGTACGCAAGGAGTTCCCTCTTAAAGTTCTTGAAGTCCGTGCTTGTTGCCCCAATGTTCGAATATCCTCCAACAACTTCCTTGTACAGTCGGTAGGAACGGACTGGCCCTATATTAGCTTTTATGCAATTTAGTACAAACATCTGATGTCCAGCATTCATTGACCTGTTGATTTTCAGTTGTGACCTGCAGTTGTCCGATATCATTGGGTGGCTGTGTCTCTCCTCGAACAATTTAACAATATATCCATTCAGACCATCAACGCGTAACCCAATACGTGCGTTACAACCTACCCGATTGGACACTCTACGCCTCATTGCACGACCCTCATCACGTGTTGTTGTATCAATTACAGCATGATGCTTGTAACCTTCCCGTGAGCACACCATGTATTTCCAAAGAATTGTCTTGTCTCTAGCTTTAACCAAGGTGCTGTGTCTCACATCGAACCCAACGTTTAGAGCATATCTCTTGTAGAAGTTGACAGCTTCGTGTAATTCCCGAAACCGCTGCCCCTTGTAAGGTTTGATCGGTCCTTCGCATTGTGGTATCCAATATTTAGTTCCCCCGGGCGTGAATACCAATTGGTGATGTTCGTCTGTTGTTTGCGAGCCTTGAAAGTTTGCGATAAAATCGAAATACAAGAAAAGAAAAAATATATTAGTAGACTGCACATTTATGACCATACAGTTGCACATAACTACTTCGACAGTTGCACCATACCTGACTGTGATTCACTCATTTCCTTTAGCACTGCAGCTCGACCAATTCACCTAAAAAGAAGAAAAAAAGTGCAGGAATCAGGGGAATTAATTCTTTATCGTAGATTAGAATACGAGAATTCTGAAATTATATCATCTAGGTATTTACCCAACAATTACTGTTCAAATATTGTTAATAAAATGAATAAATTTCCCCAATTTTCGAACGTTTATACGATTTATGTTT